GCCTGCTCTCCTGTGTGCTGCAGCATGTGAGGTACAGGGACAGCTCTCCTGCTCTTATGACTCCCGAAGTGTGCAGGGCCCTCTCCCTGAGTGCTGCTGCTAGGGGCCAGGTCAGCTCTCTGGCTCCCACACCTCTAGGCCAGCTCTCCCAGGATGCCCAGGTGAGGGGTGGGGCCAATTCTGCACAGTCCTCAGACATCAACATGTTTCCAATAGCAGTCTAGACCAAGGACATCCGCCAGGCTGTTGGTATCAGACCCCTGCAACTGCAAGTCTATGGATCTAGACTTAGTTGCAAGTACCAGAACAGAACTCCACCATGGTCCCAGGTGGTATTACTGGCTACTAACATCATGCTGTTCCTCTAGTCTCTACTTCTGCCTTTGTTGTTGTTGTCATTGTTGTTGCTGTTGCTGAGCCCACATCCTTCTGTTTCTCTTTTTCCTCTTTTTCTCTGCCTCTTACTAGCTCCTCCTAGTGGCACCCAGAGTTCAGGGTCTCTGATTATCGGTTGTTTTAGGAGTGCTCTCAGAAATGCATTGCTCCACTCATGCATTATGGTGCCAGACAGGTGTCATCTCAAGGATGGTTTGCACTGCACCCCCAGGCCTGAGCAGTGCTGGACTGGTATTCATCTCAGGCTAGCTCCCTGTCTTGGCCCCATGGTGTCACTCTGGTGATTGTCTTAGGCCCAGTTCTCTCTCATCCAGCCCAAGTTGCTGTCTGTCTTGGGCTCACACCTACCCAAGGCTAGGAGTCCAGGCAGGGATTCTTCTAGTATCTAACTTGCTTCCCATACTGGGAGTCCATCAGATCCTGCCTGGCACTGGAATGTTGATTGTCTCATGCTAGCTTCCGGTTAGGGTCCCTGGCATCAGACTGGTGGTGGTCTCAGGCTTTCTTCTTTCAACAAATATTGGGTTACTAATCATTCAGATGTCAGAACATCTAGCTTAGACATAGTCTCTCTCCTCTCTGCCACCTACTGGGAACAAGCAGCCACAGCTGCAATACCTTTAGGGACAGGTAGAATTGAAAATTTTCAGGGATATATATATATATCTCCATATCCATGTCTGTTTTTATGGCAATACCACTTTTGTTTTATTGCTACAGTTCTGCACTACAGCTTGAAATCTGGGAAGGTGATACTTCCTTCTGTGTTTTTATTACTCAGGATTGATTTTTTTTTAAAAAAATATTTGATATAAAATTTGAAGAGTATTCTTTTTCAATTTCCATGAAGAATTGTGTTGAATGTTTGAGGGTGAGGATTGCACTGAATCTGTGAATTGGTTTTGGCGAGATGCCCATTTTTCACAATGTTAATCCTGCACAGCTATGAGTACAGGAGAGACTTCTCATCTTCTGGTGTCTGCTTCAATTTATTTCTTCAATCTTAAAGTTTTGTTTACTTACTTGGAGTTGCCCTCCAAAAGTACTGTTTCTTTTATTTGTTTCTCAGTAGATTTGTCTTTTATATACAGGAAGGCTACTAATTTTTGTGTGTTAGTTTTGGATCTTGCTACTTTGCTGAAATTGTTTATCAGGTGTAAACATTTCCTGAGTAGAATCTTAGGTTTGTTATATACTAAATCATTAGAGCTATTGATCTATAATTTTCTTTTTTGTTAGGTCTTTGTGTAATTTTGGCATCAGGGTTATAAGAGTTTCATAAAGAGAATTAAGAAACGTAGCTGAGAGTTACATCCTGATCTGAAGAGAGACAGAAAGAAGGAGGGAGAAAGAGAGGAGGGAGGGAGGGAGGGGTGGAGGGAGAGAGGGAGAGAGAGAGAGATTGATTGATACTGGGCCAGGTGTTGGCTTTTGAAACCTCCAAGAGCACCTTTGGTGACATAATTCTTCCAACGAGGCCCCAATACTGCTTTCCTCTGGTCCCTCCCTGATGACTAGCCATTCAAATATAAGCCAATGGGGCCCATTCTCATTCAAACCACCACATTACTATTACAGAACAAATATCTAAATTTTATAACTATATATTTTCAGCTCCAAATTTGGAAAATCATATTGTTTATCCTGACAATGGTCATTCACAGCATTGTTGGATAATTGTTTAACTTTCTCCCATATGGTTCCAGGATGGAAGTTAGGTTACCAGGCTAGGCATCAAGTGCTTTCCTTGCTGAGGCATCTCATTGGACTGTTGATTTAATTAATTGAAATGGCTGCTGATCATGCTGACTATCTAAGTTGCAGTGTCTCTGCCTAGCTCAGCTGCCATGTTCTGTGGCCAGAGGCCACATGCGCACCACAGCTAGAAACAGCCAGCCAGAAACACCAGCCCTGCCACCCACAAGACGACAGCATGGGAGATGACTCTGCCAATCTTCCACACTATCTCTCCAAGGCTGGGCACTGCCAAGACCATCCTGCCAATCACTCAGGCTCGGTACAAATGAGACTCCAATGCTTAGATTATCCAAAGGTTGTATATATTTGGTAATGATCAATAACAAGATGCCCATACAATCAGAGGTGTAACTCAACACCCAACTTAGATATACCAACTACCTTTGACTGCCAGAGACACAGGAACATCTGCCTCCATGTTCTCCTTTCTCATATCTCATCTCCCTAGCTCCTCCTCTTCCTTCTCTTCCTCTTACTCCTCCTCTTCCTCTCCTTACCCCTCCCATCTTAGCTCCTCCTACATTGGACCACTACATTGATTCAGTTTTTCCTGCTGTCTTCTCCTTTCGTGAGCAAAATGACTCCTAGGGTTGCCTTTTCCTTTCCAATTTGTGTCTTTGTTTCACATCATTAATATATTCTGGGCTATATTTGAATCTCAAACTGATTTTATGCTTTAATATTAAATGTCATTTTAGGCTTCAATATTACATTAAACTGCATATTTTTCCATTTATGTTCCAATAATTGAAGCTGAACCACCTAGAGATGTCTAAAACAGTCTCTTGTTGAAACGCAGTCAAATTATCTCATAGGTATTAGCCTAGAGTGTATCTTAGAGATGCTGGGTTGCACTCAACCACAAGGTCTGAGTTTCAATACCTTACATCTAAGGGAAACCTGATTTGTTCTGTGTGTGTGGATGCTTTCTAATGTGAGTTGCATGGCAGAGATTAATTTGCTGCTCTGTATTGTCATGGGATTAGGGAAATCTGTGAACATGGGATCTGTAGTAAAGATTTCAGCAAAGAAATTTGATCATGGACTGAAATGAAATGAAATCATTTAGATTCTGGTTGTCATGGATACTGCATTCACTTCTTAAGTTTTCTCTGGCTTCAAACATCTCTTCAACCTTTTTAATAACTGGATCACTGATCTTTGTGAGATTAAGTTGATTTTTAAATTCAAGATGGGGCAGGAGTTTACTGTTATTGTTTTACATCTAAGAGCTCCAACATTACATCTCTCATACATGTATATGTGAGTGTATACATGTATATGTACATATACATGCATACAAACATATATATACATATACACATGTACATTATATATATGTGTATATATATACATACACACACACACATATATATACATTTTAAAATAGACATTAAAAACTATACAAATATTAAAGGAAATTTTACTGTGTACCTTGTGGTACTGATGTGTAGCAAACACAAGTTAGGTACAAGATATGGAATTTCTTGAACTAACATGACTATATCTCCATGAAATTGTCAAAGCTACCACATTCTTCTTCATGGTTCCAGTCATGGTAGTAGTAAAAACAGTTTTAAAAAACACAATTATGACCATTTTCTTAATGCTGGAGAGATGGCTTAGTAGTTAAGAGAATTATCATCCAGAGGACCTAGGTTCAATTCACAGCAACCACATTTTGGTTCAGAACAATTCTTCTAACTTCAGTCAGTCACAGGGCATGTGATGCTATCTTCCAGACTCTACAGGCATCAGGAATGGATGTGCTTCGCAGACATAATGCAGGAAAACTATGCATACACTATAAATGAATACCAACCTAAAAACCTTAAAAGTTTTTTTTCAAAAGAGTAGCAAAATGGAGAATGATGTTTTTATATTACTGTAATTTGATAAGATTACAGAGTTAATTTATTTTTTTTTGATAAAAGTTTATTTGGGAGCTAAATATAAATAAGCCACAGCCCATGGAATACAGATTTTGGTTATCCTAAACCCCATGCTCCAATATGATAATAATTTATGAAGATTTTATACTAACAGAACAAAGAAGGTCATTAACCAAAGCACTTCTTGAATACATTGGTGGGAGCATTAAGTAGGGGGCTCAGCTATAGGTATCAAATGTGATCCTACTGTCCTATCATTGAAGTTCCAATAAATTAGTCAACTAGGCAGTTCCAAGTGTCTCTCCAGGAACTTTGAAGTACTTATAAATATCTAGCAAACAGTAACACTATCAAACACTTGTTAACTGCAATAAGCACTTATGATTTTGAGCTTTGCTGTTTTTGAGAGGATCTTGTTGTATTCCTTATGTTGTACTTTAACTTGTGATCCTCCTGCATCAATGACCTGAGTGCTGTGATAACAGACATGAGTCACTATATTTAGGTAGACCATATTTAGGTATCTATGAAGTACAAATGCCTACAAATGGGGAGGTATATCACGGTACACCACAAATTTATTTAAATCATGTTCTTCTTATTTAAATTTTAAAAAAAATTGGATGCCAAGGAACTTTCGGCTGAGTGTCTATGGCACTCTACAACTAGGCATACTTATGCATAGGTAAAAAGGAAGGATCCAGTTACTGGCATATGGCATGATCCTGATCAGGAATTTAATATGGGGAAGAGGGCATGTTTGTGTTTTTCCTTCAGAGTTAATTTATAATTAATTCTCAGTTCAAGACTTGCATCACCAAGAAAAGTGTCTGAGAATAAATAGATACTTAATCTTCTTTGTGAGATTTGATCGTACCCACAATATTGAAGAACTGAGAGTTTTCTCTAACAATCATTGAACAGATAAATGAAAGATATTTTCTCAGTTTTTTTTCACTGCACATGACAAAATCCAGTCAAAAGTCCATCCCTGTGAATCAGCACAAGGGGGCTAAAAGTTGCATAACCAAGGGTCAGAAACTCTTGAATATTTATTATCAAGGAATTTTCCAATAAAGAGATACTTAAAATTAGAGAAAAGGCACAATCTGACCAGTAGAAGAAAACAAAACAGAGCATCAGAAGGAGGACACTTTGAGCAGCTCTCAGCTCAGGGGGAGTTCTGTAGAGAAGCTTGGAGTTCTGAAGGTAGAGGACATGCTGGTGATGCTTGTGGAGAAGAAACACCATGTAGCCACTGGCCCCTCCCATGGCACCCTGGCACACTGTATCTCTCAGTACCATGAGAGGGAGAAAAATCCATTTTATTTTCTGACTTGGTAACATAAAATAACAATAGGTATCGTCACCCCTAAGCTGTGATACATTCAGTCTTGTATTTGTAGAGGAATGGATTAGGTTCACACATATTAAACCATTGAGTATCCAAAAGAATGAGAAGAATGGAAGGATGTGCCATGCAGACTTTGGCCCAAGCCTGCTCCATCCAGATGCTCTGGGACTGATGATGATGGCCTGGACCACAGTGAGGAGACTGCTGGTGCAGAGGGAGAGGCCACGGGCTACCCTCTCCAGGTAAAGGAGAATCTTACAGCCTATGTCACCTAGGAAGTTTTTGAAACCAAAAGCTGCTTTTGTCTTTGGCAATCTTTTTGCAAGAAGAAGTATGATGTTTGTAAAAGCCAAGTGGATGAGAATAAGGTGTATGGGTTTCTTCTCAAGGCCTCCCCACCAACTGAACATGTAATTCACCGAAACAGACATATTCCCCAGAATGCCAAGCACAGTCATGGAGGGGAAAATCATTTTCTTAATGAACTTTAAAACCATTTTTACTCCCTAGGTTAAAAAAAATGTATCCAGGATGCATAGACTTTTTAAAAAATGGTAGTAATTCTAGACATGGATCTGAACAGCACATCTGCATAATAGCATTTTCTGCTACTCAAGAGGCAGTGGTAGACATATGCAATGTTGCAGATTAGGTTTCCGAATCTCTGCCTTTTTTCTGCAGACTCTGGGTTGTTGTGTGTGCTTTGATTTTGTTAACAGTTTTTCAAAACCTAAAGTTTTAAAGGAGATATATTTTATCATTACACTAGCATAATTGACTTGTTCAAGTGGGTGTGTGTCTGTGTGTGTGTTTCTGTTTGTCTGTCTGTGTACCTGACCTATCCTTGTTAAGTCTCAGCATAGCTGAATTGCACTCCAAGTGTCTCCAACAAAAATTTCTTCCTCTGTTTCTTACTCTATTTTATCATATTGCCCTTCAAATTCTCAAAGTCTGAGGCTTCTTTTTTATTTTCATTTTGTCACTATAACAATTTCTAGATTTGAATTTGGCTACAAAGCTTTATAACTCCAATTTCTACATTATAATATTTAAATTTTTTATACTGACCATTCTGTGATTTCACTCTATATAAATTTTCACTGGCTAATTTTTGAACATATTCCTCAGTGTCAAGTCAAATTGAATAACCATTCCAAATAGGGCACTGCAGTTAAAGTTGAATCATCAAAAATATGGCCAAAAAACTCCATATTACCCCAGGTGGCAGCCAGGGTGGGTGTCTAGCAGAACCTCATGGTGCTTCCTAGGAGAAGGGGTAGCATAGTTCTGTGATCCCAGTGGATGACTTCAGGGCATCTGTGACTCCAGTGAGTGACCTCAGGTCATCTAAGGGAGCAAGGAGTAGCTCTGGATCAGGGGACCATGATGAGGTGAACAGGATAATTGGACTAATGGTGTGTCATGTGCTGCCATGAGATGAGTGAAGGTTTTGAGTTATGAGTCCTCAGTTGCATATCGTATCAGCTGCAGCCGATACAGTAACTTGGACCTTATTGCTGTATACAGGGATTCCAACATCTAAGATCTCATGTCTGCATTTGTCTCTTTGGGGCCTTTTGAACAGCAGTTATGACACTTGGCTCTCAGTCTGCTTTTCCTCTGAACTGTTTGTTTGTCAGGCAGGTTGCATTGTTCTACATCCATCCCAGATAAATCCAGAGCTTAGACCTTGGCAGGATGTTATTCTTCGTGTTGTGAAGCTCCATTCTTATTTCTTAGGGATTTACGGTAAACTTTGGGCACCTTTTCTAAAATAAGAGGAGTCCAGATACTTCAGTGGCTCCACGGATTTGTGTGTTCTGAGTACTTAGAGTGCCTCTGTTCTCTGCTCTCCTTCCTGCTAAACTCACAGGATTATTTAAATGTCTGGGTCCTGATGATCTCACAGGTGACCTACATGAAGTTAACTTTGTTTACAGTTTTGAGTCGAGTCCAGGTGGCCTCCTCACTCTGGAAAAGTCAGTCATTGCCTTTCAACTGCTCCTCTGACAAAGAAGTAAGCACTGCCTATTTTCAGTGCTTCCTAGAAATCACAATACCATCCTAAATATCTGAACATAATGAAATATGCTCCAGATATTAATACCAAGCACATCAGCATTCATTAACATATTTAACATAAAAATTGTTCTGTCAGTGATTGGACTCTGTAAAGTCCCTGCTATCAATTCACTTGCAATCTGTTCACTTACAGATTCTGATATAAAACATTGACATTATTCTGTTTGTTTAATGCTTGCTTTTCTGGGGATTCCTACTTTTCTAGTTCTCTCTTCCCTTTTCCAAACTTCAAATCATATTTGAGAGCAGGTTCTGTTCTTCTAATAGGTGATTGTTAAAGCTGACTGTCATAGGACAGGTGACTCATCTTTCCCAATACCTTAGGAACTGTTATAGGAAATTAATTTAAAAGAAAGGATGTCTTTATTCCTGTTTAAATAGGAGGATGATACTTGTTTGGGTCTAACCTTCAAGAGGCTGAGGTAGGTTACAATCACTCACCCTGATTTTCTAAAAATGAAACAAGCAAACAAACAAAACAAAATGCTTGCTACCTTTGGCTGCTTAGTGCTGGGATAAAGTTAAGATGAGCTGCTTCAGGATGTGCTAGTTCACAGGTTGGATCTTATAGAGGATGGCTTCTCAGGATGGCAGTGACTACTGTATTCTTATCGGTTTTTATGTCTCCATTCCAACTAGACAGACAATGTGTATAGTTAAGATGAGTAGGTATAATAGCATGTGATAGAATCAATAAATTTTAAGGATGGATACAGAAGGAAAACCTTTACATTGGGAGTTATAATGTTATTGTAAAAGAAAAAAAAGTGCCAATATTTGAAGACTTGAAATGCACCAAAGTAATAAGTACAAACTTTATGAACACTTGTGAGACTGTTGAAGTCATGATGCTGGCAGACATGGAAGTAAAGAAAAAAGGAGAGTTTTTGTTTGTGTTTTGTCTTACCTTATTATTTTTGAGAAAGTCTGACTATGTAAACCAGGGTAGCTCTAACAATAATTATATTGCCTCAGACTCTACAGTACTGAAATTACAGGAGCATATCATTATTGTTTCAAATTTTTGATAGACATCTGAAAATCTTCTCTATCATCTTGATTTCTTTTTTAAGAAGAAAAAAAAACTTAGGCAAAGACCCACATAGACCTCTGTCATGACTCCAGTCTGAGGATGAATAGCAATCCCTCAGCATTTCTGTCCCATTTCTGTATCTCCAGGAAATCATTTCCTTTGATCTTTCTGGATTCATGGACCAGTCTTGTCAGGGTCAGAAGGAAACTGGGGGACTCAAGACTCACAGAGACTCTTAACTACTCCCTTGCTTAGAGAGAGACTTTAGCTTTAGTAAATTTCTCCATGGCACAGATGAGGAGATTGAAGATCTTACCTCCATGTACTCACCTGGACCTCTGTGATGCAGTCAGGCTCTGGGGCAGCTCTGGGAAGGTGATACCTTGCTAGGTTATATTTGTACTCTCTGGATATGTGGGGTTCTTGGCTGCCATCAGATACTGGAGACTTCAAGTTTCATGTTGTCACAGTGTCAGGGGGGAAAAAAGGCCACTACAGGGCCTCAGTCCCTGAAGTACAGGTTCCCTCTCTCCCACAGTTACAGTATTTGTTTTGCTCCAATGTTATTTTCAGCTTAATTAAAGTTTAATTATTTTGAGAGGAAGTACGTGAAGTGAAAAAATGAAGGGTCTGTGTACTGAGCTTCCCAGATCACCTGACTTGTTTTTGCTGTCTCAAACTTCCAATCTGTGGCCTGGCTGGGGACCAGCTTCCAACACACAGGCCTTGAATTTCATTCTCAAGTCCCTCATTAGATAGGAGTAAAATAAGTGATGCTTAGCACCCTTGGATTCTGCTCCTTGAGCAAGTCCCAGACATGAATAAAGACATGTTTAGAGTCTCTTGTCTGCTTGTACCCATCAGTAGTGAATGTCTTTATCGTAACTGATTGTTTATTTCTAACATTGAATACATTAAATATCAGGTGGGACTTGAAATATCAATGCCACCCTAACTTTGATCTTCTAAAAACAATTATTATAAATATTTCAACAACACTTCTAAAGCTTGTGTCCTTCCATATATTTTTCATTCCAGTGCCTAGGAAGCCCTGCCTATCTTGGATGCAAACTAATGTAAATAAATGAGGGAGCAGAGCAGAGGTTCTTGAAGAGAAAGCAGCATTGGCTTGTCTGGGAGATGAGTTTGAGGTCACTTGTCTACCTCTATGCCCTGTGTGATGGTGTCTCCATACATGTAAATGTAGCTAAAACAACATAGAAGATAAAGATGCTTCTTTTGAATATGAAAGGGCAGCTGTTGAGGAAAGCAGGATTTCCACAACTTCTTTTGGTTTCGGAATCTATGTGCAGAGAAACTTAGTTGTACATTATACATGTAAGGGTAGATAGAACTTGAAAAATAAAGTAATTATCTTTGGTCAAATAAGAAGTGATTTCCCATGCTTGCCTTGTTATTTTGTTTAGAATACTTCTAAATTTTGTCTTTATCTTTGAAATGTAAATAAACATAAAACAATTTAAAGCTTACAGTGCTATGACTAGGTTGTTCAATAAAGGAAAAGAAAATATTAAAAAGAGAACCCTTCATGCAGTTTCCAATTTGGAGAAGTTCTGCAAGGAAATTTTTTCACTAGCAGGCAAAGAACATACTGTTGCATTCATGGAGCAGAAACACCATGTAGTTCATGAAACAACCTTAATTTCCTAAAACAATACATCTTTTAGAGTCATAAAAATGAGAAAAATTCACTTTATTATTCAGCTTTATATGTTTAGTGTTTTGTCTGCATGTATGTTTATGCACCACATGTGCCCATAAGGGCAGAATAAGGATTTGGATCTCCTGGAAATGGAATAACAGATGGTTGCCAGCTCCTATATGGGTGATGGGTAATAAACCTTAGGCCTCTGCATGAGCAGCAAGTTCTCTTAACACAGTAACCGTATCTCCAGCCTCTGTTATAGAGATTTTTGTTAGATAGTCTCTGGTTCATGGGGGGTGAATTATTTCCCAAATTAACATAACTTTATTTAAATATATATGTATATATCCATATATGTCAGTACATGTGTGCACGTGTGTTTGTGTGTGTGTGTGTGTGTGTGTGTGTGTGTGTGTGTATGAGTTTCTGTCTTATGTTTCTATGTGTGTTTTTGTGTGTATAGGGGCTAGGGGGCAGTTGATCATTGATGCCAGAGGTAGACCACTGGAGTCTTTAGAACTTGAGTTACAGTAGGTTGTCACCTATCTGACATGTCACCTATCTTTGTTAAGAACCAAACTAACGTTCTCTACAAGAATAATGAGTACTCAAAGCAAGCAGAGGAAAGCACTTCTTATTGGACCAACCTCACCAGTACTCTTTATTTCTGTATGTTTTTTGAGGGTTATTCTGGAGTTTCTTTTACTTCTTTGATG